TTCATAGAAAGTTGAGCGTCGATAAATATTGAGGTAATAGAGGTAACCGTCACTTCATATAGAGATTACCGTCGCTTCATATAAAGGTAGGCGTCAGTTGATATAATTGTTATAGAGGTAATCGTCGCTTCATATATATACAGATTGTCGTCGCTTTATAGAAAGATGCAGGAAACTGTGTTTTCATATAGAGATTACTGTTGCTTCTTAGAAAGATAAGCGTCGATCAATATAGTGGTAATAGAGGTATAGCCGTCGCTTCGTGTAGATATCACCGTCGTTTCATAGAAAGGTGAGCGTCAATTGAGAACTTGGTTATAGAGGTAATCATCGCATGATATAGATATAACCGTCGCTTCGTAGAAAAGTAAGCGTCGATTTAAAAAAGTGATAATAGGGGTAAACGTCGCTTCATATAAAGGTTACCGTCGTTTCATAGAAAAGTAAGCGTGGATTTATAAATCAGTAACAGGGGTAACCATCGATCGCTTCATATGGGGGTTAATATATGCTCTATATTGAAGGTTCTCTCGTTTCGTTTACGATATTTGGTGATTACTTACTTACAATACAGTAAACTTTTCTAAAAATGATGACAATTTCATGAATGGCCGCTCTACGTCTACCGGATGAACTGCGCGTGTTATACAACGGAAATGGTTATGTCAGGAGCAAGCTATGCTTGTTAGACATTGAAAAACAATTCTCCTTTCACACTCCTTCCGTTAACATGATTTAATGTGTTTGAAATGTTTTGTTATGGAATGCTTCATGAGCTTAGGTCACATTTAATGCTGTCAACGGAAGGGCCAGGTGACACGTGCTCCGAGCGTTACATATTTGGATAACGAGGCAATACTAATAGGATGGCATATATGTGTCAACCTCTGAAACCTCCAATGAGGTAGATCTCCTCCATTCCACATTTCCAATGAGGGAGAAAGTGCGTGAAACGCGACTGAAACTGCTTTCCTCAAAAAAATAATCCTTCTCGTGTATCAAAATAACTCCAAAAAAGCATTAATTTAATTCAGTCACATCTGTTATGGTCATTACACGCACACCCTGCAATAACTAGGAGATCATTTGACCACAGGATGTAGATATTGAGTTTGTGTGAGTTTGTACTTGAATAAGGAGTTTCGAGGGAGATTGGAAAATGTTGGTCAAAATGATGGAGTCTCCCTCCTTATGAGGAGAATTGACAGCTATGAGGTGGTTTTATTCATTTATCTATTTATTTATTTATTCATTCATTCATTCATTCATTTATTCATTCATTCATTCGTTATTCCTTTCGTTCTTTCGTTATTTTAATTGTGTATCTATGGTAGCAGAGTACAGTAGCGTACGGTGGCCATGGGTGATATTTTTATACAATGAATAACCCCTGTAATATAACATGTATCAAAATTTAAAAAAAAAATCAGCACTAAAATTGGCATATACATGATGAAGTGGACTATGTGGGCTTCATAATTTAAAAAAAAGAAAAGTCGAATTTGGTTTGAGACTACAATTTTGGGCATTTACGAATCTGTGTCTACACAACAAAAGCTAGCTTTTCAGGTAGTCTATTTTTGTACTCAGCACATGTGTAAATATTGTGAAAAATCCACCGGAATGACCTATGCTAAAACGTGAGTATTTCTGTTACCGAGTAGGCGATATTTAATTTCAGACAGGTTTTAAGAAAAACAATTCTACTTGCGGGGGTCAAATTCTGGGTTAAAAATCATGATTTTTTGCATATTTTGGTGTTTTTTGATGTGGTAACCATGGTTTTCAGAAGTCCCAAATCTGGGGAAATCACTTTTTGAAAAAAAAAATGTTCTTCTAAAAAACACCTATTCAAAATGTAGTTTATAAATATATATATATATGTAGGTGTGTTGTGCAGGATGAATCCGCTATCCATGTTTATCCGAGACATGCCCTTTATTTTTAGGGTCAAGCCATTTCTACTGTACTCTGCCACCTATATTTGTTAGGTTATAAGGCGTGTCAGGTATGCCAAACCGTGTTTAAAATATACATTTGTGTACATTATTATGTATTTAATCTTCCTTTAAGTATTCAAGGAGTTGGAGGTTAGCAGGAAGAACACTTTTGGTTATAGTTAGTTTTATAGTTTTATAGATTGGGATAACTTCGAGTGACGATATTGAGTTCAGAAATAAAGCTCAAGAGGTACAGGGTAGACGGTGGGTATAATAGGTGAGGAGTTGTATATTTTGGGAGGAAGTACTCGTGTTGTAAATAAAGTGTAAATATAGTAACGTATTCTGTTGATCGGTGAATTTGAACTGGAGGCAGCGGATTACAAAAAAGAACGTAACACTGGGGACCAACAGTGTAGTTTAGAACGCTAACGTTGGATGGATTAACACTGCTGGCGGTGGTGGAATAGTAGCTTAACATATAATGATATATTAAAGTGAAATCGCATATAAGTACATCTTTATCTACGTAAAGCTCACATACAGAATGCTGTGTGACAGTCACCTAATAACAAATAAACCTATATGTGTAGACTTAAATCACATTCACAATGATATTGCCATGATTTAGGTGTTGAAATTTATTCAGATGTAATACTATGAATGTGGCATTGGTAATATTGTCGTAAAAGGCAGAACTGATAGTCTAGCCCACATGTGTTTTAATCTTACCTCTCGAAAGCTTAATGTGATATCATATTGCATTTTCCTGTGACGTCATCGTATTGTTTCCATCCAGTACGTGTCCTCTGCCACAAGCTAGGGGGTGATAGAGGAATGTTTAACAGGTTAAACTAGAAGCAATGCAGTGAAAGCGTGAGAGATTTTATTAACCACGACCAGGTCAGAAGGGAGACAACTCTGTGAATTGCTGGAGAAAGCGAAACCGCAAGGCCCAATAGCACTGTAATGGTGTAAATAAGCGGACCAGTACCTACGTCACCATGGCTACAGATCCACTTGTGATTTATTTTAAGCAAATGTATGACAAACTACAATATTAAAAACATTTCTTTATATAAATAAATGGCGATTTTATTATACTTGCATTATATGCGTAAGCCAAAAGTTGGGTAAAGCTAGCCAATTTGGTGTTATGTCTTACTGTTATTAGAATGCATAAAACAGTGTTTAGAACTGTTCATCCGTTATAACAAAAGCTTCAACTCAACTTCTAAAGAATTATACCTGATAGTGGTCAATGTATTTACTTGGCGGTTTTAACACATAACGCGTTACTGATGTACCTTTTTACAAAGTAACGCATAGGAATACAGCTACATACTGCCTGACGCGTTAGATATGCCGCGAGCGTGTTACATACACGTTCTAACCCTTTAGATTTGAAAAGGATACGTTTATCAATAATGGTTAGTATTACCCGGTATTTGCAATCTGGTTTTTTTTTATCCTGATTAGCAATTATCACTCTCCTCGAAAGCTGAATTAATTATGACATCATACTGCAACTTTCCGGTGACGTCATCGTATTGTTTATTTCCACATTTCATCCTCACGCCCTAGGGGGTTTCAGAGAAATGATACTCTCGGGGTGATAGTGAAATCTTGAACAGGTAAAATGGAAGACAACCCGGTGAAAGGCAAAAGTAGACTCTAGATAATGTAAAACGGGAGACAACTCTGTGAAGAAGAAAAAAAGAGAAAAAAAAGAAGTCAGATATGCATACACTTATATCAAAATTCTGTTTCCAAGTTCAGTTTCGCGAAGACTCCTTGCTTAAACATTCAAGAAAGGGGAAATGCGTGTAAGGAATGTTACTTTACTGTATGATATGTATTTCAGACATACTGAGTTTCTTTCTAAATAGGGAGATGAACGTAACAACACTTGTCAATGCACCTTTAACATTTGGTAGTTAGTTAGTTAGTTAGTTACAGTTTGCCAAAAATGAAATACATTGCATCATTCAGCTGTACTTGTACTCATCGATGATACTTGGGGCCAAAAAGTGGAAATTGGAATAGTCTAAACTATGGGCGTGTGCGTAAAACCACAGGGACCTGAGAATATGTTACAGCTATACTTGTAAAATGACATCCCTAATGATGATCATATATTCGAATATGTGTACATTGGGGGTGTCATTTTTACCGAAAAACATGTATTCAAATATATGATCATCGGGGTGTCATGTTTACCGAAAGTCGATCTAAACCCCTAAAACATGTAAAATTACTCTGAACACCTTAGTTTAGGTCCAAATAGAGCTGTGACAAATTCTCAGGTCCCTGTTTGTAAAACCCCTTAATTATGAATTTAGTGATTTAGAGGAATACTGATTAATTTCAAATTAAATAATCTTTAACGTGTGTATATTATGAAGCATGTGCCACTATAGATTTTACATATAGGCCTCAAGGTTACAGCAGACCTCGGGACGTCTAGGCCTCAAGGTTACAGCAGACCTCGGGACTAATAACCCAACGACAGAGTCTACCACATTGTGTCTTGAGAAAGAACGTAACACACACAATGTCGCACTTGTTAGATTCATGTATTTATTTTGACTCAGAATCAAAATATTTTACCTGTACCTGTATGATATTGGAAGACCTCGATTCCAAGTATGATCCCGGCAGGGTTTGTGGAGTGCGTTTTGAATTTAAATGGTCGATGTTCTATAGTTCTACCACAGGGACCTGATAAATTGTTACAGCTATATATATATTTGTACCTAAGCTAAGGTATTTCTAAAGCGTAGTTTTACACGTTTTATGGATTTATATCAATTTTCGGTAAAAATGCCGCCCCGGCATCATATCCTCACTGAGGTTCCTCAGTGCGAGTTTCTCAGTTCACTTTAACGGAAGTACCAAAATCTGTATGACAAGTCGAGTTAAAGTTAACGAATTTAAAATAAACATACGGAAAATCGAGAAAAGAAAATTTAAAAGTAGATATAATTAAAATAAATTCAGTTTCCTGGAGGGGGAAAATTCGATTTGGAGTTATTTCCCTTTACAGCGTTCTCCTTTATAGCTATGGAAACTGTTTACAAATGGCGGCAGTCAGAAAGATAATGATCTGGCCAAGCCAAACGGCGTGTACATAAAGTAAGCTTAAAGATAATGATCTGGCCAAGCCAAACGGCGTGTACATAAAGTAAGCTGTTTGTTTCTTACAGTTGACGAGACACTATGTAATAACTAAGGTAATTGTTATTTTACTTAATAAGTATTCACTAAGGTGAGCACGCTTCCGTCTATGAACTTTTTGTGTTTTTCCTGTATTTTGTATACAAACAATTCAGCTCAGATAGGACGTAAAGTACTTTTAAAATATATCTCTACAGTACTAGTATTGGTAGGCTCAGAAGTGACAAATCGGATTTAGCAAACTATGAACAGATGAACCATGATTAGATCACGTTAATGTGAAGCAAAAAACCGAATTGGACTACTGTACAGTGTCTACAGTAGACCTCAAGTGTGGACCTATCATGCTGCTATGCATTGTATTTTCAAGTTCAGTTAGTAGGTGTTATAGGTAGAACATTGTGTAATACAGTAATCATTGTTCATTACTGTGGTCATGTTGCTGAATATCTGGTTGAAGTTATAATATCAAAATATAAGTGTAACCTACCCTGGCATTCCAACTAGGGGAGGGACATTGAAGTACAAGACAAGACAGTCGCTAGATCAGATCATAATTTTCATTTGGTTATAAGCTGCAATATTTTGTGATCAGACAGATTTAGGTCAGTTGAAAGGTATGAGGCATAATATAAACTAATGTGGTTCTACTGTGCACCATTTCATATACAGTAAGTAATACAATATATTGACATATGAGTTTAGTTAAGTGTCCTAGCTCCAATTATGAACCATTCTCTTCTTAATTTTAGGTATTAAAGGGAATCCAGCAGTAGCTGTAGGTTTATTCAAAGGATTTGATTATAAAAATAAAAGACATACATACATGTATTAACAAAACATTATGGCAGACTGGGGAAGAAAGGCTGCTGGTAAAATAGACAGGACTCAATTCGGTAAAGATGAACTGCTGAAATCCTTAGGAAATCAGTTCAATGTTGACTTTACGGACTATGATCAGTGGACAAGAAAGAACAAACCAGTGACACGCCCTCCACCCCCTCCAAAAGGTGAGAGACCATCCTGATCTGTTTCACTCTTCGATTTAAAATTTGATTTATATTTGATAACATACAAATGAAATGTCATATTTCTCATTCACCATAATCCTAATGTCTTTTGTCTTTATGAATTTGTTATGACAATTCATTAAAATCACAGCACCTCATCTGGCCTGCATATTTGTATGGATTTGGTGTGTTTACTCTGCATTTTAATTTTGTAATTCAAAATACACACTTTTTAGTACATGCATTTTTGATATTGAAAATTTTGACAGTAGTTTATCAGAGTCACATTTCTGTTGTTGTTTTTTTATCAGTGAAACTACAGTAAATAACTTTCTTGTCATACGCACTTAAATGATATAGGGTTTTCTTATATACATGTACCAGTAAGTGTTGATTAAATGCAAAGTCACACTATACTTATGTAACTTTGATTTCATGAAACTGTTGTTGTATAGGAAGCAAATCTGTGACTATTCGCCGCACTGCCAAGTCAGCTGATAGCTGTCAGCATGGAACGGGGCCTGGCAGGGGTGGACACATACCCACACTGAAGGAGAAGAAACAAGCGGCTCAGAAAAAATCACTGGACAAAGAAAGAGTGGAGAGGGTAAAAATCATTGAGGTAATTAACCTTCCCTTTGTTGTTTGTGAGGCCAGGGAGGTAAAATATACCAGCCTGGTGATCAAAGATTGATATTTCATGGTTTAGATCAGCTGAACATTCATGTGCATAACGGTACTAATTCAAAGCTGGTGCAGATTTCTTTCAAGGTCTTTATTAGGATTTTTGTTTTTTAAAAGTCTGTTTTTGGAGGCTATATCATATTCCAGCCAGTAAATGCCCATGACACTGAATGATAGAAAGTAGAGTGGGTGTTAATTAGGACTATTTCACAATTCCATGCACTAATCAGATGTAATAATAACCAAGAATCAGAAATTAGTAGACAAAAAATACCTTCAATCTATTAAGGTATAATACAGTGTTAATATTTATTCCTTTTATTGACTTGGTCCAGTTTCAACTGCTTTGTAGCTGTAAATTCTCAAATAAACCAAATTTCTAAAAGAAAAATCTCACTGTAATCAATAATAGTTACGATGTTTCAATAAAAATAAACTTCCTTTTTACAGCTGAGAATAAGGACAAGAAAGAAGACGCTAGAAGAATATCAAAAGAGATACCATGAACTGTATCCTTTTCTCTTTTTTGTTTTAATATATTATATACACATAGACATGATTGACCTAGTATCCTTGTCTGTTTTAATATATTATATACACACAGGCATGATTGACCTAGTATCCTGACGTTTTAATATATTATATACACACCGGCATGATTGACCTAGTATCCTGACATTTTAATATATTATATACACATAGGCATGATTGACCTAGTATCCTTATTATATCTATTCTAACACCTCAGGTATTACAAAATGCAGTTTTGACTGAAAAATAAAGCATTGGAACCTAAGTTTGCTGATTGATCACAAACATCAAAAGACCACAAGTTTGACACTGACAGTGCTACTTTTTCTTACAGTTTAGAAAGTAATTCATTTATTTAATTATGTGGGTTAGAACAGCAATACATTAATGGGACATACACATGGCTTGTTGTACCATTGTTGTTGGCCAATGAAAAATGTTGTTACATAACAGACATGGTAGGAAATTAGTTAACATTTTCATGCCAAGCTCTATGTTAAAAAGGAAAAGTCAAATTAAAATAATTTTATATGCATTGCATTTTCATGATATTGAATTTAGAGACCTTGACAAGATTACAAGACTTGAGGAGAATATAAAGTTAAAGGCGGAAATAGATGATGACGAAATGCACACTATGGATCATGTGAAAGGTTTGCTTCGAAGATACGAAAAATACAGAGTAAGTGAATTAATATGAGGCAGTTAATTCCAGAAGTAAATGTATACAAGCGGGCAGGGTGAAAGGCGGTCCTACTACGAACACTTCTTTCCTGGATCACACTTTACAATGCAAACAGTTTATTTAGATCTTATCATTTTAATATTATTTATTACAAGTGCTTCTCTGCCCCAATATATTCACATTTGGAATAGCCCCAAGTATAGAAAAAACTCAATATAATGCCTTTCACTTTATTATGTATACCTTCACTTAATGCCAATGTATTTCACAGACCTTTTTTTCTCACCAATTCCTTTAAATGTCTCCTTTGGTTTATTGCCAAACAGTCAACCCCTTTATAATGCCATCCCCAAACAAATAAAGGCAGTAAAGCAATTAAAGGGTTATTATTTCTTTTGAAAAAAGATCACCTAAATAATACTTGATGTATTTGGTGATGAGGTTGAGGTAACAGCACCAATTTATTTTCTTTTTGTAAATGAAATCAAATTAAAAAACGAGAGATGTAATGTTTGAATGATTTAAATGTCCAAATGAAATCAAAGGAAAGTTTGTGACATTGAGTCCAGTTGTATTACATGTAGTGTGAATGATAGCATTGATATGCATGTTACAGTTGTCTCCCCTAGGTGTATCTACCGGTAATTGATAATTGTTCATTTCACCAAATTTTGTGATTGTTTCCTATGCATAAATTTTTTTTGGGGGGGGTTTCCGGAAATTAAAATGTTTTTTTGTATGATTTCAGGGCGGTATCACCACAATAAATACAAACTTTGGTAACGAGTTTGAAACTGCCCAAAGAGAGTTAGATATAACAACCACATGGACAAAGAACAAACTTGGATGTGAGTGTTGGCGTTGTTTATATACATAATGGTTTTAATAGGGATCCAAATTCAACTTCTTAAATTTTTAATGAGACTAGAAGGAGGGAAACTTTGAATGAACATATATTATATTGAAGTGTACAAAAAGATATTGGAATTTCTTGCATTTTCTAGACATCCCTTGATTAGGGAGTCATGAATTCCGTCTTTTCGTATTACAGAGTTATCTGCTCTTGTGAACAGGTATTGAATGTTATAATGTCATTGGTTTGTGAGAGCAACGTCATCAATTTTTGAGAAAACAACGTAATTTTCTCACACAAACCAATGACGTAACAATCAATACCTGCTCACAAGAGAAGATAACTCTGCAATACGCAAAGACGGAATAATCATTTCCAAAACATGACAGTGTTGTCTGTTCAGAGTCAAATGTTCAAGCTTCACCAATGGTTTTGTGATAAGTGCTACAATTCTGATGCTCCCATCAACTGAATTCTTAATTCAGAAAGCTGTGAAAATTAATTTGACATGTGGTTCTATAGTATTAATGTACTATATAAATTGTAGATACTTACACCTGTAGAATGAATATTTTCAAAATATCTTTAGATGCAATGGAGCTTTTGTCTGTCAAATACACCAACATACCCTGCCTCCAGCACACATAAACACATACACATTGTCATTAACCCATAAACACAAGCACACTTACATTACTCACGTGAAGGTACACCCTTAACCCTTTCAACACCGTAGACCATAATGGACTCATCCATATCAATGCATGGTAGAGTCTACTAAAGTTACATAGGGGTGAAAGGGTTAAAGTGACCTCAGCTGTTATTAGGATGCTTAACCTTATAAAACCAAACTTTTGTCTGTGGATAGTGAAATATTCTGTCGATGTACAAGAATTTAATTGTGATTTTTTTCCCTATACCATTCACAAAAATGTGTTTTTCAGCTTTAAATAAGCAGGTGTCAGAATTAGATGAGTATTTGAAACAGAGACAGGAGGAACTACACGTCCTGATGAACTATAAGGTATGTAGTAAGAGATGCATACTGGAATCAGTCTGTCTAGGTAAGATATATACATGTAAGTAACAGAACTCATGTAAAAGGTAATCATCTGATGCAGATTAAGTACAAATTAAGTACAACAATTTGTGACTTGCACGTAGATATAAATTGACTTAATTTATATTAATGAAAATGATTTATCTCAAGTTCAACTATAAATAGTAGTCATTACGTATTTTAAGATACATTCCAAGTTACTTCTCCAATATGAAAAGATTTGTATCTTGATTCAGGTATTTTCTTTAAAAATCTTTTGATATGTTGTATTGGCATGGTAGCATGCATACAACATTTTCACATATTTCTGAACTACATGTATGTGTTTCTAAAATTGATTTAATTGGTATGTTTATATTATAGGATAAAGAATACCCTGTCAAAGCCATGAAGATAGCAACTTTACAGAAAGATATACAAAATCTCAAGATTTCATGTCAGGCAAGTACAAAATCTCAAGATTTCATGTCTGGTAAAGTACAAAATCTCTAGATTTCATGTCAGGTAAAGTACAAAATCTCAAGATTTCATGTCAGACAAGTACAAAATCTCAATATTTCATGTCAGGTAAAGTACAAAATCTCAATATTTCATGTCGGGTAAAGTACAAAATCTCAATATTTCATGTCGGGTAAAGTAAAAAATCTTAAGATTTCATGTCGGGCAAGTACAAAATCTCAATATTTCATGTTAGGTAAAGTACAAACCGTAAGATTTCATGTCAGGCATGTACAAAATCTCAAGATTTCATGTCAGGTTAAAGTACAAAATCTCAATATTTCATGTCAGGTTAAAGTACAAAATCTCAATTCTTCATGTCAGGCAAGTACCAAATCTCAATATTTTGTGTCAGGTAAGTACAAAATCTCAATACATCAGGTACCAGGTAAGTACAAAATCTCAAAATTTAATGTCAGGCAAGTTTAAGATCACAAGATACTCAGTCAATTAAGTCCAGTGAAATATGATATGTATACAAAATCTCAAGAAATTAACCACATCTCATTTTTAATATTATTTATGCATACTTACAGGAAGATCAAGAGGACTTGGAGCATATAATCTATACAGAGCTGTCAAAGTATGAGAAAGAGAGAACGAAAAATGTAAATGAAACAACGAAGGAAATGACAGAAGTAAGTATACATACAGACATACAAATGTATCAACACATCCCAACTATATGAGGGTATCGACTACCCTATGGGACAGATATCCACTTGTGGCAGCAATATGACATAGATGTTTACTTGTTATTTATGCATGACATGGATATCCACTACTGACATCTGTATGAAAAAGATATCCACTACTGACATCTGTATGAAAAAGATATCCACTAGTGACACTACTGACATCTGTATGAAAAAGATATCCACTACTAACATATGTATGAAAAGATATCCACTAATGACATCTGTATGAAAAATATATCCACCGCTGACATCTGTATGAAAAAGATATCCACTAGTGACACTACTGACATCTGTATGAAAAAGATATCCACTACTAACATATGTATGAAAAGATATCCACTAATGACATCTGTATGAAAAATATATCCACCGCTGACATCTGTATGAAAAAGATATCCACTAGTGACACTACTGACATCTGTATGAAAAAGATATCCACTACTAACATATGTATGAAAAGATATCCACTAATGACATCTGTATGAAAAATATATCCACCGCTGACATCTGTATGAAAAAGATATCCACTAGTGACACTACTGACATCTGTATGAAAAAGATATCCACTACTAACATATGTATGAAAAGATATCCACTAATGACATCTGTATGAAAAAGATATCCACTAATGACATCTGTATGAAAAATATATCCACCGCTGACATCTGTATGAAAAAGATATCCACTACTGACATTTGTATGAATAAGATATCCACTACTGACATCTGTATGAAAAAGATATCCACTGCTGACATCTGTATGAAAAAGATATCCACTAGTGACATTTGTATGAATAAGATATCCACTACTGACATCTGTATGAAAAAAATATCCACTACTTACATCTGTATGAAACGGAGATCCACTGCTGACATCTGTATGAATAAGATATCCACTACTGACATCTGTATGAAAAAGATATCCACTACTGACATCTGTATGAAAAAAATATCCACTACTTACATCTGTATGAAACAGATATCCACTGCTGACATCTGTATGAAAAAGATATCCACTACTGACATATGTATGAAAAAGATATCCACTACTGACATTTGTATGAATAAGATATCCACTACTGACATCTGTATGTAAAAGATATCCACTACTGACATCTGCATGAAGAAGATATCCACTATTGACATTGGTATGAAACAGATATCCACTACTGACATTTGTATGAAACAAATATCCACTACTGACATCTCTATGAAAAAGATATTCACTACTGACATCTGTATGAAAAAGATATCCAATACTGACATCGGTATGAAAAAGATATCTACTAATTACAGTTTAAAGACTAAGAGAATCATCCAACCTTCGGGATGATATTCTCAAATGTTAGCCTAGGGTAAGACATTCAAGAATATCATCCCGAGGGTTGGAGATGTTTTTCTTCAATCCTGTTTCACTCACAAATCTGCTGACAAGTGGTGATTGCATAAATATAAGCGGTGATTGCATGTTTTCCCAGCTAATCCAGAGTTGTCTTTCATGGTCTGCTGTGTATACTGTTGACATGACGTCAATGCATTGATGACACGATGTCATACAATTGTTATGACTTAGATCGCGTCATTCTGCACGAGGCCATCTCCCCCTAGGGGGTGACAAGCTAATCTTTTCCAGCTTAAAAGGGAGACACACCTGTGAAGGGTGGGAGAAATTGATTTTTCTTACCCTGGACAGGTGTATCTGCACTTTTACCGGTGTGAGATTTCCTTGTCTCACCCTAGGGTTGAGATGGGGGGATTCCCTTATTCATAACAATGGCATGACGTCACTTCAACAATACAATGACGTCACATCAACAATCCATCAACGTCACGTCAACGTTATCATTACATTGTGTATATGATACACATTGGGAGAACAGGGTAAGAGAAAAAGAATCATTCATCCCCTTGTGAGTGTGATAGGAGAATTTCAACCCTCAGGGAAAAATTCTTAAGTTGCCAAACACTCGATTCCAAACAAAAATTCTCTTATCTCACCCCCAAGGGGATGAGAGATTCTATTAATCCCCTAGTGACATAAGTATGACAGAGATCTCCACACATGACATCTGAGATAGATATCTCCTAGTGATGACTCTATGACATAGATATCAACGCTGATCTCTGTATGAAATCAAATCATACCCATTGCCATCTCTCCTACATCAAGCCATTACATGTACATGTAATATTATTAGCTCACCTGGTCCGAAGGACCATGGTGAGCTTATGCCATAACGCAGCGTCAGTCGTCCGTCGTCCGTCGTCCGTCCGTCCGTCAACTTTTCCTTTAAAACGCTACTACTCCTGAGCGACCAAGTAGATTTTGACTAAATTTGGTCTAGAGTATCCTTAGGCCAAGGGGACTCAATTTTGTATAAACAGTGGGTGTGGCCCCCCGGGGGCAGAGGGGCGGGGCCCAATAGGGGAAATAGAGGTAAAACCTTGAAAATCCTTCTTCTACCATAGGGATTAAAGGATTTTATCCTAATTTAGTCTGGAGCATCCTTGGGCCAAGGGGACTCAATTTTGTATAAATGGTGGGTGTGGCCCCCCTGGGGGCTGGGGGGCGGGGCCCAATAGGGGAAATATAGCAAATTCTTTAAAATCCTTCTTCTTCTGTAGGAATGGAAGGATTTGTTTCATATTTGGTCTGAAGCATCCTTGGTTGAAAGGGGAACCAATTTTGTATAAACCATTGGTCTGGCCCGTCATGGGCCTGAGAGGTGGGGCCCAATAGGGGAAACATAGCAAATTATTCTTTAAAATCCTTCTTCTTCTGTCGGAATGAAAGGATTTGTTCCATATTTGGTGTGGAGAATCCTTGGGTAAAGGGGAACCAATTTTGTATAAACGGTGGGTGTGGCCCCCCTGGGACCTGAGGGGCTGGGCCCAATAGGGGAAATGGAAGTAAAACCTTTATAATCCTTCTTCTACCATATGGATTGAGGGATTTTATCCTAATTTAGTCTGGAGCATCCTTGGACAAAAGGGACTCAATTTCGTATAAACAGTGAGTGTGGCCCACCTGGGGACAGAAGGGAGGGGCCCAATAGGGGAAACATAGCAAATTCTTCAAATACCTTCTTCTTTTGTACGAATGACAGGATTTTGTCCAAAGTTGGTATGAAACATCATTGGGTGAAGGGGAACCAGTTTTGTATAAACGGTGTGTCTAACCCCCCCTGGAGGCAGAGAGACGGGGCCTAAAAGGGGAAATAGAGGTAAAACCTTTAAAATCCTTCTTTTACCATAGTCTGGAGCATCCTTGGGCCAAGGGGACTCAATTTTGTATATGCAGTGGGTGTGGTTACCAGGGGGCAGAAGGGCAGGGGCCAATAGGAGAAATAGAGGTAAAACCTTTTAAATCCTTCTTCGACCATCAAGATTAAGGGATTTTTTCCATATTTAGTCTGGAGCATCCTTGGACCAAGGGGTCTCAATTATGTATAATTGGTGGGTATGACCCCACTAGGGGCATAGGGGTGGGGCTCTGTTTGAAGTTTGTTCTCGCTATATCTCGAGTACTGGATGGATCTTTCTGAAATTTCATATGTACTTACAGCACCTACCATGGAGTGGTATATCTTTACTTCATACCAATTATTTAAAACATATTCAGGTGAGCGATACAGGCCCTCTGGGCCTCTTGCTTTAATTTACGCCACTATTTGTGGACAGAAAACATGCTTTAAGAGATAACGTGTAGAGACATGTATATCATATAAGCTAAAAATGGATTTGTTTTCATCATGATTTTTTTCCTCAATTCTATGCTGCAGGTAGTGAATTCTTCTGTAGATCAGTATTACTTCTTTCAGTATCAAAATATCTTAGGCTTTAAAGCTTTTTTAAAATATTCTACTGTTTTTGTGTATATTTTCAGAATTATTTGAACATACTTTACTTTTAAGTCTTGAACCAAATGCTGAGCCAGGGGTGTACAATTTCATGTTTTAAGTACAGCTAGCCTGCAAGGAAGTTTAAAAAATTCTACTTGCCTGTTCTATATTCACAAAATGAATATTGAAACTTTTCGCTAGCCCTTACATATAATCTACCTACTAGCCTTGGGTATCACGCCAGCAAAATTGAACACCCCTCTGTCTGATTTCTTTTTGATAAGCCTATTTTTTGTCAAATGTTATTTCTATGAATAACAAAAAAGTCTCAAAACACAAGCTTCTGTAGAGATACATATGAAATAGAAGAAAAGATCTGGTCCGGCATTCATATAAGTGTTCTCATGCTCAAGCATGAATTCTGTGCTCAAACGAACTTTCTTGTAACTCATTTAAATTGTGTCAAACATTCAAAAAGTCAATTGTAATCATCTAAAACAGTATTTGGCTTTAAGTCTCTTAAAATATTTCCAAACCGTTGATAAATAAGACTTTTTTATTAATTTATAACCCGAACGATAAATAAGGCTTGAGTGCAAAATTCAATCTTGAGCATGAGAATGGCTTCATGGATACCAGCCCTGAAGTTTCCTAATCTGTGGTATAAGGCTAGTTCACCTGGCTGTGACAGGTAGTGCCTGACTCTGTAGTGTGAGTGAGAGACTGTAGTATACAATATATTACCTACAGACAGGCAGTGCCTGACCCTGTAGTGTGAGTGAGAGACTGTAGTATACAATGTATTACCTACAGACAGGCAGTGCCTGACCCTGTAGTGTGAGTGAGAGACTGTAGTATACAATATATTGCCTACAGACAGGCAGTGCCTGACCCTGTAGTGTGAGTGAGAGACTGTAGTATACAATATATTGCCTACAGACAGGCAGTGCCTGACCCTGTAGTGTGAGTGAGAGACTGTAGTATACAATATATTGCCTACAGACAGGCAGTGCCTGACCCTGTAGTGTGAGTGAGAGACTGTAGTATACAATATATTGCCTACAGACAGGCAGTGCCTGACCCTGTAGTGTGAGTGAGA